TGCACCCCCCATTTTGGGACTCACAGCTGAAAATGACCTACCTAACTTAAAATGGTAACAGTTCCTGACTTCAGTGCGCTACACACACAATTTTGGTGTCTTTGGAAAGAAGACCATTTGGGCTTTACTATCCATCATCCAGAGTTGATGATGCTCAAAAAGATAAAAAGTTATAGACACTAAAGTGCCTTGAAAAAATTGTACCACACTGAATTTTTTTTAAATTTCATATAAAAATACATTAAATCAGTCCTGGAGCAATCCAGAAAAGTAATGAGTTGAAAGTCACATGTCTCATGAGTTTCTATTTCAAATCTGAAGAAGATACCATGAAAAATGATCCCCCCGTTTGAGGAAAAATATTTACCAAATGTATTTAAAATGGTAACAGTTCCTGACAACAGTGTGCTACACACACAATTTTGGTGTCTTTGGAAAGAAGGCCCTTTGGGCTTTAATATCCATCATCCAGAGTTGATAATGCTCAAAAAGATAAAAAAGTTATAGACACTGAAGTGCCTTGAAAAAAATTATACCACACTGAATGTTTTTTTTTTATTTCATATACAAATACATGAAATAAGTCCTGGAGCAATCCAGAAAATGTATGGTTTGAAAGTCACATGTCTCATGAGTTTATATTTTAAATTTGAAGAAGATACCATGAAAAATTTGATTCCTGCAACCATTTTTCTGAGACTATTTCTAGTCCCCCCTCCCCGTTTGAGGAAAAATAGCCACCAAATGTAATGAAGTGTTCTACGAAATGTTTTAGTCATTAAACATACCACTACATAGTTTTTCAATTATAAAACAATAGACAGAATCGTAGACATCCTATGAGTGATTTATTTGAGCACTAGAAAAATACAATAACAATAATTTTTGAGTAAGAAGAAAAAAATAAAAAATAATTAACTATATATGTCAACTCTTGATTGCCTGACATACAGTATTCACACTGATTGCTGGTATTACAGTCAGTAATCACATGCTGATGTGCACTCATACAGATGGTAATCATACAGATGGCTGGGCATATAGTCAATAATCACACTTTAATGGCCGTTCATATAGACCGCATTCACACTGATAGCTGGTCATACAATCAGTAATCACATGCTGATGTGCGGTCATACATACTTTACTTTTAGTCATTTAGCAGACGCTTTTATCCAAAGCGACTTACAAATAAGAAAAAGTAATTAAAACTAAAAGCTAAAACTCTATAAATACTATATATATACACACATTTAAGAAAAAAGAAATTAAATAAAAATGACAAATGCATACAACAACATTTCAAAACTAAAACATTTAAATGAAAAAAAAAAAAAAAATAAAGCTAAAAACAATTCAAAAATATTAAAAGAACAAAAGGTATGAGTATAATAATGATTATAACATAACACTAAGCCAAACACCAAAAAACAACTACATATGTTTATGTACAGCCACACACATATACATGTACATATATATAAATACATTAAATATATATATATATTATTTCATTTCCATTTTGTATGTTGAAGTACTGAAATAACTCAAATTAAATAAAAGTAAAACTTAATAAAAAGCCTATATAGACATAATAAAAAAAACTAATAAAATGACAACATTACTACAACTGTAACTAAAACTAAAATAGATAACTAATACAAATCAAAGTACATTAGTTTATCAGTAATCCTAAAAAAAATAACACTGAGCCAAGCACACATGCTAAAATAACAACAACTTACTGACACATAGTAAGAAATGGTTATAAAAAAACTGAAACAGAAGT